TGAAGTAAGTCAGAAAGAGAAAAATAATTACAGCATGCTAACACATATATATGGAATCTAAAAAAAAAAAAAATGTTCTGATGAACCTAGGGGCAAGAGAGAAATAAAGACGTAGACATGGAGAATGGACTTGAGGACATGGGGAGGGGGAAAGGTAAGCTGGGATAAAGTGAGAGAGTGGCATGGACTTATATGTACTACCAAGTATAAAATAGATAGCTAGTGGGAAGCATCCTCATAGCACAGGGAGATTAGTTGGGTGCTATGTGACCACCTAGAGGGGTAGCATATGGAAGGTCAGAGGTAGATGCAAGAGGGACTACATATGGGGATATACGTATATGTATAGGTGATTCAATTTCTTGTAAAGCAGAAACTAACACACCATTGTAAAGCAATTATACACCAATAAAGATGTTAAAAAAAAAAAAAAGAAGGTGGTGGAGATGAACCTGAAAAATCACAATGCTAAGAGGGACGTCGACAGAGTGCCTCTTGGTAATGGCACAATGTGACTAAGGTGTTTTGGAACACAACATACTAAACATGTTAATGGAAGATTTGTTCACATTTGTGCAATTTTTGTTTTCATTCAGAGAAATATGATGACTTCCATCTTATTTACATAGTTTATGTGTATTTACATATTTTGATTATTCAATCCAATCTTCCTCTTCTGTAAAGATTGTTGGGAGGGGGTATTTTTTATTCTCTTTCCTCTTTTCTACTCCCTTTCCCAGCTAGTATTTCCCTTTGCTTTAGTTACTTCCAGATCTCTTCAGTGGTCCCCAAAACTCATGGATGTCTCCTTAAGGTCTCCCAGTATCTTAAATTCACCATCTCCTAAAATAAACTTCCCTTTCCTTTTAGCCACCCTCCCGGATTTCCTGTTATTTATCCCAGTTTCAGCGGTTCAAAGCTTCAAATCATCATTTGTATTGCCCTCTCTCTTCCCCCAACACCCAAACAGTGCTGGTTATGTTAATTACATACTGAAATCTCTTCTAAGTCCATCCTCTATCTCCATTTTCACAAGCTTTCAACCAAAGCAGAGGAAGATGGCGCTGTCTGTTACCTCATTTTCCCTGTATTAACACCAACACACCCTTCTTGGTTGTGTTCCTGCAGACGGCATCTGGCTCAGAACTCCCAAATCCCAGCTTTAAGCACCCTTTCCTGTACACATGTCTGTCTTCAACAGGGACTTGAGTTCCTCTTCTGTCCCTAACCAACTGCACAATCCTGAGCAAATTAGTTATCTATGTCCTCAACATTTTCATCAGTAAAATGAATAGCATCCTATTACCTGTTTGAAAATGGAAGTATAGTTACCAATTATCTATTTCAGTTATTCAGAAGAATGTCCTTTGAGAACTTGGAAGTTCTATACAAATATTAGCATTGTAATTTTCATTCACTGACCTAGTGCTCATTGGACAATGAAGGATAATGCAATGGAAATTTAAAATATTTTTAAATTTTTAAATTTTAAAAATTTAATTTAAAAAATTTAAAAATTTTTAATTTTTAATATAAATTTAAAACATTTCTTCCCTTAAAAATCTAGTTGGGAGGAAAATATGGTTGAATGAAACAACTTTATAACCATGTAAGGTGATATGTGACTGAGTGAGGCATGTGGTAATCTCTCCATGTTACTATGATTTCCATCTTACAGCTGAAGACACTGAATTCCAGGCTGCACTTGACTGTATATTCCCCTCTATGGATCTGGCTGACTTCTTTGTCTACCTGAGATTGCCAAAGAGTGTGTCCCTTCAATTTATTTTACTTCTCTATTAAACCTTGAAGAAAATATAGTATTTGGATTGGCAAAAAAAGTAGATTGTTCTAGAAGGGAGAATATAAATAAAGGATCAGATCCAGGGACAATAAAATTAGATGTAGGGGCCATGAACTGATTCATCTGATTGGGATAGAGAACTTGTGTAATGTGTAGTAAAAGGGAACTCAGTTTGAGAAAATAAGGGTTTTAGGTGTCAAGATGAAGAGTGGGCACTTGATCCTCAGAAGGGAATCTTTATAATCTCTAATGCATAAGAAGGCTTTTCTAAAAAGGTGATTTAAGATTAATGTATCATTACATCACAGAATAGAATAAAGCTGGGATGGCAACTACATCTCAGCTTGTGTGTCAACACCAACCATTTGTAGCAGCTTATTGCAACTGCCTGTTTAGAAGATTCTCAGGTTACTTTGGCTCATAGGAGGAAGTGCCTTGATTAATTAATTCTGTCTGATGTAAGCATGGAAAACTGGGTATATTCTATCCATGGAGTAAGACAGACTGTCTTATAACAGAAAAAAAAAATATGAAAGTCATACTAATTCGTTTTGAATATGGCTAAGGACAGAATTAGAGTCGCAGAAGTGAAAATGTAAAGACAATAAAACCAAGAGTTATAGGTTTTACTAGTTAAATTGAGAGAGGAAACCAAGAACATGAGCAGTAAATGAAACCTGAGGATTTAAAGCACAGGGAAGTGAGAACAGGAGGTTGCCCCTGTACAAGAGTGAGAGATGGGAGAACCTAGATACTTTGGAGTGTCAGAAGAGGGGAGAGAAGGAAAATACCATAAAAATATTCTGGTCAACCAGTCCTGGCTACTAAAAAAGAGCCACTGGGTGCCAAAATTTCACAAGGACAGAGCAAAGGTGACCATGCCCATCAGTTACTGCTCTGTGCAAAGTGAGCCTGATCTAGTGATGCAGAGGTGAGAATGCCCTTAAAAAGTTTCCAGATTAGCAGAAAAGTGAGACCTTTAAGAAATGATCATTAAATAAGTACAATACCAGTATTATACAAGTGTCCTTTGAAAGCACAATGTAAGAGAAAGTAAATTTGCTACAAGAAGTCAGAAGAGACCAGATAATCTAACATCTGAGCTGCATCCATGTTGATGTGGGTCATGCAATTAATTCATATATTTATATGATATTTATTTTATTCTATTCTATGTGTTATACATTTATTTAGAATACTTTACATAAAGTAATATAATAAATATTATAATATGTATTTATTATAATATATTTATATAAATATTCCATATGTTCTTTATCCACTGTACTGTTAATAAATATTTTAGTTGTTTCTGCATTTGGGAGAATTATAAACAAAGCTACTATGAACAATCTTGTATATGTTTCCAGGTACTAAGAGAATCCTTTTCTATTGTCTTTAGAAGAACAAAAATCAGTATGTCAGCTTTTCCTGTTTTTTTTTTAAGTTTATATAATGGAATTTGAATTTAATGTTTTCTTTCATCTTTTTATTTTTGCACAATTAAGTTTATAAGACTCATCTAGTTTTCATTATTGTATATGTATATAGTATAATAAATATATCAAATAAAAATTCAAATGTACAAATATTTCATAGTTGTATATACCTGATAATTTTTTTTTGAAATATGAGCTGTTTCCAGATTTGTGTAGTTACAAACAATACTGTGTGAACATTCTTGTTTATGTAACTTGCTAGAATGCATAACTGGGAGCGGAATTGCTGGTCATAAGGTATGGTATCTTCAATTTTATATGATATTGTCAAACTGTTTTCCAAGGTGGTTGTAACAGTTTACACTCCCACTAGCACTGCAAGAAACTTTTTGTTGCTGTACATCCTCACCAATACTTGGTATTGTCAGACTTTTAAAAATATCAATTATATATATAGTGTTATTTATCATGAATTTAATATATATTTCCTCAATAATTATTATAAATAACAATAGTGAATTTAAGCATATTCTCATATGTTTATTGGTATATTTGAAAATGTCTCATTTTGTGAAATGTCTGTTCATGTCTCTTGCCCATTTTCCTAACAGGCCATCTGCCATTTTCACTCCTTGATATCCTGGGGAGTGCAATTCTTTCTCCATTTTATTTGTTACACCTATCTCCTTTTACTCTGGCTTATCTTTTTATGATTTATATGATGCTTTTTGGTAAACAAAAGCTCTTGATAATAATCTAGTGAATTTTAATGATAATGTTTAATATTTCTTATATATATTCTCCTATATTCTATTCTAAATTTAATTTGTCTACCACTCCTAGGACTTTGATCCAGCTGGTACTGATTTGGGGTATGGTATGAGATAAAGGTCTAATTTCATTCATTATGGATACATGATTGTCTCATCATTGTATATTAACAAGACTGTCTTTTACTTACTGCTCTCCAGTGCCACATTTGTCACAAATAAAACACCAATATATGTGAGATATTTTCCTTACTTCTGTGCTCTCTACTCTGTCCTATTGATCTGTTCACTTATCTTTGAACCAGTACCACACTGCACTGATTATTAGGACTTTATGATACATCTATACATACATAAGAAAACATGCTCTCCCGCTTGTTCATATATTTCAACAGTTGTGCCTATTCTTGGCCATTTGAGCTTTTGTACAAAATTTAGAATGAGCTTGTCAATTGCCATTAAAATGTCCTATTGGAATTTTCATTGTGATTCAATTTATATCTATAAATAAATTTGAGAACTGACATCTTTTCAATATTGTACATTCTGATCAGTGGACATTGTATTTCCTTCCATTTTTACAAAAAATACCATTAATTTGTGTTTCAAGTATTCTTAACACCTCATAATAAAGTTTTACACCTTCATCCTTTGTAGGTTTATACATCTTAAATTCACTTCTAAAAGATTAGGAGGATGAGAGGGAAGAAGAAGGAGGAAGGGGGAGGACAGAATATGAGAGAAGAGAAAGAAAGAGGTAGAGAGAAAAAAGAGAGGAAGATGGAGTAGGCAAAGAGGAGGGAGATGGAGGAGGAGAGAATGGGAGGAGGGAGGAAGAGAAGGTGGAGAGGGGAGGGAGGATGTAGATCAGGAGGAGAGAGGGAGGACAGAAGTAGGAGGCAGAGAGGGAGAAGAAGGGGAAGAAGATTTCATTCTCTGGTCTATATTCAAGTCAGAACACTTAGTTTTATTTTTAAGCTAACTCACCATTGCAAATGCCATTGGATAGAGAATTGAGCAATGTGTTTTGTTCACACTGAAATGAAAACAGATATAAAGAAGAATAACATTACAAAAATTCATTTCTGTCCCTGAAAAAGAACATCATTCTTTTCTCCATAAATAATAAAGAAAACTAGTCTCCAATAATTATTTTTCCTAGCTTTCTTTTTCAGAATGATAAATACAACGAACTAAAATAATTAGTTCTAAGTTTATGTTAGCTCAGTAGATAATTTAAATTATCAAGTCAGACTATCTTCTTTAGAACATTTTCTGCAAGATTAAGTTTGTTTTGATATTTGATCAGGAATTGAACATTTGTACGTGTTTTTCATTGTAGCGTATCCAATCAGAAATTAACTTCATTAACACAGCACTCTCAAAGAGAGACCGCCAACCATATATTTCATATTATACAAAAGTTAGCTGTTCGCTTAATATGATAAACTCTAGGTCCATCCATGTTGCTGCAAATGGCATTATTTTATTCTGTTTTATGGCTGAGTAATGTGAAGTAAGCCAGACAGAGATAAATATCATATGATATCGCGTATATGTGGACTCTAAAAAATAATGATACAAATGAACTTATTTACAAAACAGAAACAGACTCATAGACATAGAAAACAAGTGTATGGTTACCAATGGAGAAAGTGTGGGGGAAGGATAAATTAGGTTTTGGGTATTAACATATACACACTACTATATATGAAGTATATAACCAACAAGGACCTAGTGTGTAGCACAGGGAACTGTACTCAATATTTTGTAATAACTTGTAAGTGAAAAGAATCTGAAAAAAAAGATACATATGTTTGTATAACTGAATCATTTTATTGTAACCTGAAATTAACACAATATTGTAAATCAACCATACTCCAATAAAAATAAATATTTTTAAAGTTAGCTGTTCATCTGAAGCTCCAAGAAAAAGCATTCCTGATTTATGGAAATGCTGGAGAATGAAAATGACTCTATATCCTACAATTAAACTTCTTTGAAATTAAAAATAATTGATGCCTCTAAAATTATAACATGCCCTGTACTTCTCAAAAATGTGTTATTGTTATTACTGTTAATGATGATAACAACTGTTATTTCTTGAGTACTTGCTATATACCAAGAACTTTACATTAATCATTTAATCCTCAGAATAATCCTACGAATTTACTGATCTCATTTTTCATCTGAAAGTTGGAAAATTTCTGAATTTGGAAGACTTCTAAAGATTGAAATGGTTAAATAATCTGACCAAAGTCACAAAGCTAGTAAGAACTGAGTTAAAACCTGAGCTCATGTCTTTCCACTCTGCACCTCATGCTTTCAAACTTCTACATTATATTGCTTTTCCCATGAAATCAGATTTCATCTTAGAGGGTGACCATATAATATCTATTTTCCCTTCTTAATCCTAGTGGTTCAGCTTATATGTTTTAAGTCTGATTCTGACAGTTATCAAATAAGTTTCACCAGGTTATTTTACATTTCTAAGTCTCAACCTTCCTTTTTTGTAACATTCAGGTAAAGTCAGCTACATCATGGGGCTGATGACAATTAAGTTAGATAGCCCATTTAAAGGGACTTGCCCTTGAGAGACAGTCAACAAATGTGCTTCCTTTCCCTCCTTTTAAAATACCTTGTCTGAAATCTCTCCTGCAGAAGAAGTTTAAATCAGATACTCCACCCTCGAGAAGGTGGAGAATGACTCCACACGCCTTAAGTACAGGCTGCACAGAGTGACTTGTTTTCAAGGACTACAGCATGGAAACGGGAAAAAAAAAAGTAACTTTACAGTGAAGAAACCTGACAAATACTATCTTATCCAGGTGATCAAGGTCAACATCAACAGTGATAAATCATGTTTATATTATGTACCCTTGAAACAATGTGATGAAAATGGCACTTCACCTCTATAGTTTTCCTCCTGAAAACCCATATCTCCAGTCCTACCGTGAGAAAAATAAGAGATAATCCCACCAGAGGGGCATTCTACAAAATACCTGACCAGTACTACTCAAAACTGTCAAGACCATCAAAAAAGGGAAAGTCTAAGAAACTATCACAGCCAAGAGAATCTAAGGAGACAGGACAACTAAATGTAATGTAATATCCTGGCTGGAATTCTGGAGCAGTAAAAGGACATTAGGTAAAACTAAGTAAATCTGAATAAAGCATGGACTATAATTAATGATAATATACCCATATTGGTTGATCGATTATAATAAATATGTCACACTAATACAAGAAGTTAATAATAGAGGAAACTGTGTGTGGTGTGGGGTATATAGGAACTCTCTATACTAACTTCTCAATTTTTCTCTGTAAATCTAAAACTGTTCCAAAAACCAAATACTTTAAAAAAAAAAACCTTGTCTGAGCAAAAGAAAATTTTAGGTAAACAACAGATTGAAACTTCTCTTGCAAAGTGAGACCACAAAATGGTGATAATATTATAGTGAATATCTATAGCCTATATAATAATGAGCATGAATCCATCAAACACTAGCAGCCTGAGATCCTTCTAAGCTTCTGCATTCAGGGAGATATTTAATAGTGATATACAGGAAGTATAGCAGTATAATGATATAGAAGTATATCGTTACATAACCTAACAGGGGATCCTTTTTCAGTTTATGTTTTGAATAGGATGTAAATCTTCCTGCTCTGGAATGTTTTAAATGCCCTTCCATCACTACTATCTGTTGAAAATTCAGCTGTCACAGAAGAGAAGATCAAGTCCCTGGCAGAGCACTCCAGTTCAAGGAACAGCTATAGACTGCTATGTTCAGCCTGATAAAGGGAGGCAAAGATGCAGCAGAGATTAATTGATGCAGACTTGTTACTCCAAAACTGAACTTACAATAAGTGCATAGTCCTTAAAATAAGTAGATATCCTAGGCAGACAGTGTGTGACAAGGACAATATGAGATGCCCAAAAGAGCATCCATGCTCAAGACTATCCTTTTAAGCATTCTGAATAAAGGTTTACCCCAGGTTCCTCTGAGAGGATGAATTCCAGAGTGCCATCTGAAGCCTTGGTGTGTCCTTTAAAATTCATAATATACAAATATACATACAATATTTGCTTTATTATCATTAGAGTAGAGCTCAGTTTCAACAAATTGTTTCTCACCATCATAAAGTTCTGAGTTAAAGAATCCTTTTGGGTGCCATTACGTACCAATAACCTAGATTCAATAAATTCTATTTGATTTTTAGACTCAATTTTCTGAAGTCCCAAGTAGGTAAAATCATATATGTAGAACCTTCTCACAGAAGTCTGTGTTAATGAGATTTGTTTCTAAGGTACACTACAAGGTAAACACATGCCAATTTGCAATTTCTGAAAACAAGTTGGAGCAACCTTAATCTTGCAGGAAAATATTCTAAGGAAAACACTATCGACTATCGGTAAATAATTTGTTAAAAGAATCCTCATGTCAGGTACTCTCCTAGAAATGATAAAGCCCACAAACTAGTATATTATTTCAATAAGTAAATTTAGATTTTGGTAAAATAAGACCACAACTTCTTGTGGGTTAATTAGGTTATTTGACACTCTAGACAGATTTTCCCACAATACTGTTACGCATGGTGGTTATGAGCTTAACGTCAGCCACAAGAGCCTACCTCTCTCATAATACAGTTTAATACTCTGTAAGGTATAGAATGGCTTTGTGATTAAAAATAGGCCTAATATACAACTTGAACAATTAGGAATATATCTCCCCCTTTGGCGTAAGAGCAAGTTCTTCTCACCCCAAAATCACAGGTGCTAGTTCCTAATATTCCAATGAAAGTGACATCCTAAAGATCACGGTGAGGGGTAAAGGTCTGGAGATATATAGACAGGGCCAGCTTCATGGGCTTGAGCCCTGTGCGTCACACAGGACCCCATGCTTAGAAGGGTCTCTCATTTGGCTTAATGCTCTGTTGTCACCATTTTGAAATTCCTAACAACTGTTGAACAAGGAACTTCACATTTTCATTTTGAACTGTGTCCAGCAAATTTCATATCTGATCTTGTATTTAGGACCTCTGTTGTGTGGATCACTATGAGGCCCAGAGGCAGAAGCATGAAGCTGCAGAGACAGGAATGTGGAATTAGCTCCTGAGACACCAGAAGTGGAAGGGCCAAGGTCTCCTATGCATCTGACTGACTGGGAGATAGTATATGCTCAAGGATACAAGAGAAAAAAGAGATCTTTGTTATCTAAAAGTCAAGAAATGCTTCACTGAGAGGGTATTATTTGCACTCAATCAAACTAATAATTCTAGCTAAGATTTTATAGTATTGAGTAGGCCAGGCACGATTCTAATTTCTTTGTGTATATTAACTCATTTAATCATCTCTAGTACTGATTAGGAAACTGAAACAGAAAAGATTAAATAACTTGGTTAGGGTCCCACCATTCCTAAGTGGATCACCCAGGCAGCTTAGCTCCAAAGTCCATGCTTTTAACATTGCAGAGAGCTTAAGGATTCAAATGATTACAGATAGCTCATTCACATGAACTCATCCTGATGCACATTTGAGTTGCTATCTGTGTTAATTGAGATAATTTATGGAGATAAAGAATGATGGCATTTTAAAATAACATTATAATGATGGCAACAGCTTATACTTCTGAGTCATTTACCATATTCTCTTTTAGAGGTAGATCTAACTCTTCTTTCTCTTGGTAAAAAGATACTTTGATTTAAGTGATTTGTCTTATTTATTCTCTTCAGGGTTATAGCACTTAGTACACATGTCCATTAGATATATGCTTAATTAATGAGTAAGTGAACAACTGAACAAATGAATGAAAAGCGATTACCTAAAAGCTAACTACAAGAGCCAAATAAAAAGTATAATACAATATAAGGTTTTGTTCAGGAAGAGTTCTCTGAACACTTTTATAATGTATTATATTTACATGATAACGTTTTTGGGCATCATGATATAAGGTTATCTGTAGCATGATATTGTAATCATGAAAGAGTTGACCCTACCTTGCTGATTTCATCAAGTGGCTGGTTGCTGGCATTTTCTTTTTGGATTATGTTCATTAGATCAGTATGAAACTTCTTTACATTCAGAAAAACAAGTGGGTTGTTTATTGAGATAATTTTCACCTGCTGCAGGGTTTCCTTTTACAAGAAAGAAAAAAAGGAATAGATTCAGAGTTCTGAATGAAATAAGTCCTACAATGAATCGAAATCCTACAAGTCCAAATGCCACTCATTTATGGAAGCAATCTCCTGGCTGATGTTTTCATTAAAATTTCTTTGGAGAATTTAATATACTATCATACTTCTCAGGGAAAATATGTACTTCCTCTTTATTAAGAAACATTAGTAACCATGAGATAAGTCTGCATCTTTTCAGAAAAATGGTCCTTATTCCTACTAATTGGGTTTTGGGGAGGCAACAGCCTAGACTATTCAAAGAGTATCATGAAGACTTATCCTCCTAAAAGTACCTTTTCCACTCAGTCTAGAAATTTAAAATTCCTTTACCTAGCCACCAGTATTTTTAAAAATGAAAATATGTCCTAAAGGGTCACTGTCAGTCATTTACCTCATAATGACATAATCTTCTTTAGGCAGGAATATAACCTTACAAGTGACTGATAGTTCTAATTGAGGGAAAGAAACCAAGAGGTATTATCAGGAAGGTAATTTCACTTTGGGCAGGCCTAGATTACATTGCATTTAGGATGTAGGCAAGACATGAGGAAACGGGGAAGGAAAATTTTCAATACAAAAGATGTCTGCTTTGGCCATTTGCCCAGGTCTTCCTGGCAATTCTGTCTTCTCCATGACCTTTGGGGCAGGGGTCTGTCTTAGAAACTGAGAGGATGGTGAGTTCTATGAAATGATAACTCTTACCAACTAAATAAAGCAATATTCCTTCAGACTTTAGTACTCACATAGAAGAGGAGACACATACAGGCAGAGATAGAAAGATAAAAGAAAATATCAGATATATGAATTTGGACAATTAGTTTAACCTCTCTTAGATTCCTTGCTTTTTAAAGTAGGTAATTTTTTTTTAAACAATTCCATCATTTAATAAGTCTGAATTCATTTTTACCACATGATATTGTACATGGTCAGCTGTTGAAACAGATTTCTTTTAAACAGATCTTAGTTTTAAAAAAGTCATAGATACTGTGAGTTCTGTATAAACTGGTGGATAGTAGGTTAGTTCCTTTGTTTTGACTTATAAGCCTCAATTTCACCACAGAATAAAGAATGTAGGCCAAAGAAAGCATAATTGGTCACTCAATAACAGTATTATTTCTATAATTTGAAGCTTTCTGAATGGACAGGTTCAAGCCTGATATAACTGTAAAAAGATCACTTAGTGAAAAGACTATATGGAAATCATACAAAATGTTATTAACTTTAATCAATAGCTTAAACAGCACTATGTTACTAATTGCTATTCAAACTCAAAACCCTGTTTTTGAGTCCCCATGAAGGCGGCAGGGGTACACAACCATGCCACCTTGTACTTAGGGGAGTGTCAATATATATTTCAACAGAAACTTTGGCTTTAGGAAAGAGTCACAAACTTTAAAATAATGGCTTTAATTGTCATTTTAAGTATACCACAGGGGAAAGTGTGCTTTAACTATATATACCAGTGATGCTGGTAAGGTTGAAAGTTACTCCTAATTTTGACAGCTATAAAAACTAGTTTGTACATGACAAGACAATGAGAGAAAAACAAGCAATTCCTTTGAAACAAACAAACAAAAAAGTTCACAGTGTTTTGTATTCAACAGTATGCATTTTATGACAATAACGTACAGATTGAACACACTAGGTCTCTATATCCTAAAGAAAATGAGCATTTACATTATTCATGGGCTGTACTGAATTTTAAAAAAAAGACCAACTATACACTCACCCCTTACACAGGATAAACTGTCCAGGGCTGTATAGCTTTAGCACTATCACTAAAGTTGTTTGCAAAAGGAACAGAGAACAAAACAAAACAAAACATTTTTTCCTTGGAAGTGGAGAGTCTTTCATTAGCTGTTATAACCAGAAAATACCATTCATTAAGTCAAAAATGGAAGGGAGGAGGCCCATAAACACTATTTGAGCAAGCTGACCAATATACATTTCAGTTTTAAAAATGAAGGATATATAGTATATGTTACAAGTCTCAAGTAGGCAGTGTCAAAATGGCATTTATTTCTTTGCTTGCTTTGTGATCATACCCCTTGGAGGTGTTATGGGTCTCATGGTATTTGGTTTCTTTTTCTCTGCAGGATTTAAAATCTGAAAAGAACACATTAGTGTTTCATCCACACTCATCATGGCACCTGCATTGTCAAACCCTCCACAACAATTGGGTGCAGAAAACAGAGTGACCAATTGTCTCTTTGCAAAAAATTTATATCCATCTTCCAACCACCTGATAGGCTCTACATATAAGATCCAAATCATACTTATGGAGAAATTTTGCAACCACTTCTGCACCAAATGTGAAGGACACGCCTCTGTCATTTTCAACCCAGCCTAAGACATCTTTATCAGGGTCAGACCACAAAAGATCACAAAGAAGACCTTGATCTGGTACATCAATTGTTCGAATAATTCACTGAATCTGCTCCATAGACTGAAGATCCTGGTGATAAACCTCCATGACAGCAGAATATTTTCTCATCCATGATGGCTGCTATCTGTAAACAGTTAAAGCAGTCTGTGAAAGTTTTCCATAGTTTAATGTTGTATCTTCTTTTACATTCATCATAAAATCCATAAATTCTATTGATGCTGGCACATTCGTGATCTCCTCTGAGAAGAAAAAAATTCTCGGTATATTTGGTTTTGTAAGGCAATAAGAGGCAGATAGTCTCCAATGACTGCTATCCCCTGTCCACATAGTCCCCAAAAAACAGATAACTGCTTTCTGGCTGGAAAACACCATACTCAAAAAGTCAAAACAAATAATACCATTGCCCATGGATATCACCACATATTTTGAGTGGTGCTTCAAGTTCCAGTAGGATAGGCTGACTTTGGAAGATCTCTCGGAACTTTAAGCAAAGTCCTCTGATTTCGTTCTCCTGCAGCTGGACATTCTTACCAGGCTTGGACCCTCTCACTTCCAGCAGCCATTGGATGATGCTGTCGATGTTCAGTTTATATCTTCCATTACGTTCCCACCACCGACCCTTCCGCAGCGGCAACAACTATGGCTAGCGCCTTGGGACTCACGCCTCTTTTCCCACACCACCAGCACGGACATGGTGGTGGCAGCGGTGGCAGGGCCTCCCTGTTTCCTCCTTCTCTCCCCACTGGAACCACGAGAGCTAACATAGGTAAATTTTTAAGCTAGATAATGTTAAAAAGTTTCTATAGCTACACAACTGTTTAAACTCTAGAAAGTTAGAAGATTTGCTGAAAATAAACAATTCAAGAAAACAAAAATGCTTAAGTTACCAAATTAACTTTTTTTTTTTTTTTGCGGTACACGGGCCTCTCACTGTTGTGACCTCTCCCATTGTGGAGCACAGGCTCCGGACGCGCAGGCTCAGCGGCCATGGCTCATGGGTCTAGTCGCTCAGCGGCATGTGGGATCTTCCCGGAACGAGGCACGAACCCGTGTCCCCTGCATCGGCAGGCAGACTCTCAACCACTGCGCCACCAGGGAAGCCCTACCAAATTAACTTTTAATCAAGAGGAAATCTCTTATAAGCCAAAAATAAAACAACTATTTGGCCTGTCAGGTTTAGTTATGACAAAGACCCACATCTTAAATGGACTCACTAATCACACCACATGTTTGTGCCAATATGCTTTAAGATAATATACTTTTTAAAGATAGGTATTTATTAAGGAACAGAGACTCAAATGGGGCAAGAAAAGAAATTCTCATGAGAGTTGAATTCACTGAGTGGGGAGGGGTCTTCCAAATTGAGAATGAGTGTTTCATGTGAAGAAGGGGTGGGAGTGTGCATAAACAAGGGAGGAGTGACAGATCACCACTACTCTTGAAGTTAGCTAAAAATTCCACCTAAGAATTCATATTCAAATCTTTCTCTATCTTACTGTTTTCCCTCTTAGTTTTGATACAAAACATTAAATAACTAGTGAGGTGTAATATTCTAATAAAATTAAGATTTCCATGTGACACAGTTATTATTCAGGTAGGTGGCTAGACTGGAACAAATCAAGTTTTAAAGACATGGAGAAATTTTCAGCACTTTCATCTTCCTGCAAATCCCCTCTTTCACTTCCTCACATATTTAGCTTGAGAAGAAGGTATGAATTAGGTAGAATTTATTAACTAGTGATCTTTAAACTGAAAAATACCAAACTTGAATTCTGTTTCAAAGCTAAGAATGTCAAGGCTATGGTATATGGCTGTATGTGTGGGGTGGATACACTGAGGACTTTAGAGGCCTGAGTCAGTCTGGGACTTTGCATGTGCATTAAATTCCCGTGGAAAATTTAAAGGAAGAAAAGAAAGGGATAGGAAAGGAAGGTAGCATTGGTGGAAAACTTGAGCCTAGGGCACCTTCAAAGTCTTTGAACTCCAATAGCTTTCTATGAAGCAAATCTTTCTATACTTGTTAAAAAACACAAGCCATTTCTCTAGGTGTCACAGAAGGACTCCTGCTGCTACTTTCTACTTCCAGTCTACTCAGAAATACCCTGATATTATCCTACTGATAGGAGACCAGTTCTCTCTGTTCTGAGGGCAATCATGAGGTACTAAAACAAGTAAAAATGAAAAATAAAGAAAAAAAAAAGGTTAGTGAAACATTACAAAGCAGGTTCAAAGTAAGGCCAAATTTTTAATTGACAAAAATTCAAGTTGACATTTTCTTTCTTCACTTAACTTGTTTAGGTCATCCTTCAGAACAAGAACATAATTGGCCTGCCTAAACATGGATTGAGTGAGACAATTTATATGTTGTTTCCTTAAAAAGGTGTCCACTGTGCAAGAAACAAATCCTAGTGGTATCAATTACCCTCTGTTAATAAAACAGAGGGTCACTGATTGTGTTAACAAATCCCATGACCCCAATTTTCTTTTTTCCCTTCCCTATTCCCTATCTTCCTCCATCATTTTATTTGGAATAGACTATTAGTTTAGTTTCACTGCTTTATGTCAACTTAATAATGGAAAAGAGGTTTCCAAATAACTGAACTAGTCTGGACCATGATTATTCTGTGAACTTTACATCTATGAACCATGCTATCCTCTTATCTGCATGCTGATACAAGCTTTCTGTTGTTGTTCTATTGATTTGTTGCATGTTGATTGCTATATATATATATGGTGGTTACACATGCCACTGAAAGTTCAAACTAATCAACAATAGAATTATCATTTTTAAAGTAGTAATTTATCTGCTTATGATACCTTGAAACTATCTGACCCACAAAAATTATTAATTGCACGAAGGAAAAGGAAACTAAACTTACATCATCCATTTCTGTCTTCACTTTAAATTCCATTTCTTTCATATTTTTTATACTCAGAGTCTTTGCTCTAGAATTAAGGCAGATATAAAATACAATGTCATTTCCAAATTACTACATTAACCATGAAGAAATAAAAAGGATAAGCCATTTTATTTTAACGATTAGAACATATTTAGAATGGTTTAGATGCTATATTCCATTTGTTCATAAGACACTGGTAAATGTGTATCTCTCTGGGATCCTCAGAAACAGACATCTAAATAGAGATTTTAAAATGTAATTTATCTCACCTGGGCTCCCAGCTACCATATCTTCAAGCTAAAGAGGTGGATTGATAAAGAAGAGCAATAAGGGAGAAGGCTAGAAAGTATATGGTATTTAAGAAAATCTCGTTTTAGGGTAAAGGAAGTAAAGGGAATCAATGGCAAGATCGGATCACATAACAATGAATCTATATATAGAGACTTCATAAAGATAGAATCTATAGAGGTAAAACTTAAATTTTTAAGAATATATTATTTCACAAAGAATTTCAAGGGAAGGATGAGAAGTGAGTAGAAGCATTATCGGATGATGAACATAGGGAAACAGAAAAAGAATTGATCAAAATATGGAGTGGTTTACAGATGTGCAGTAAAAAACAAAAAGAATGTGTGCATTAATAAATTATCTAGAAAAAAGTAGCTAGATTAATAAAGCTTCTGAAAAATTAAATTTTTTGAGGTTATTTAACTTTTCAAATGATTACATTGTTATATGGTTTGTGTCTCATTAAATACTATACCCATTCACTTAAAAAAATAGCTCTGTGATGCACTGTATAGCTGTGGGGTTAATTTGTTTTATAGATTTTATATATTCTATTTTATACTTCTGACAAAATATTTCTCCTCATTAAGACCAGTGTTGTTATATATCACATGTAGATAAAAACTTCTATATAAATAAAACATGAGAGTGTAATACTATCTATTCCACAGAAATAAAAGTAACTGGCAACAGTATATTTGCTGCTGTGTCAGAATAAACAGCATTTAAATAAGATCTTACCTTGGGAAACGACCAATCACAATAGCTATGGTACACACAACACCAAACAGCAGCCCCACATTGGCAGCAAAGCATATTGTAAATATATATGTACTGACCCATATGCCCTGAAAGACAAACAGGAAACAAGATATGGGTCCTTTGTATTCTCATCTTTCTCGTTATTGCTAAATTCCTCACAATCTTGTTCTCTACCATTCCTGTGATGAAATCTCTCAGCAAGAATATATTACTCAAGGAGTGGTAAACAGAAGCCCAGGAACACAGAAACAAACCCAGGCCCCAGCAGACTCCCAGTGACAGAGGTTAAGGGAAAGGCAAAGGGAAAAGGCTCATTCTTTTTATATAGATGCTGCCAACCCTTATTTCAATCCCCAAAAAGCGTTCTATTTAATATCTGTAAATAGTTGGCTGATATGCTTGCTTCAAAAGCATTCCATAATTACCTACTGTTTTCTCGTTTGGTGTAATAATATTACAAACAAGTGTTTGTAGATTTATGGTCATTCCCAGTAATATTCTGTTTTCTGGGATTGCTATAAAGAGAACTAAGATAGCTTATTACTATTGACACGTAGGACTCTCAAAGCCTATTGTTAAAATGGCTGACTCTAACAGCACAACCAAAGCCACTTTTAGACCAACCACTATAAAAATAGTTATACTTTTATTTGCAAGGGGTCACTTCTTGTGGAATTGTGAAAGCTAAAAACTCAAGGCCAACTTAGTTCTTGGGAATATTTCAAAAGATTGCAAGAAAATTCTATTTCTCCTTTAATTGGGATTCCAACAATATTTCAGTTTTGTCTACCACCTGAAATTACGATTTGCAACAGGATATTGTATTATATTGGCAATTCTAAGTTTATATCTGACAAAAATAGCTTTAAAAGGAAAATAATTTGTGAAATCCAGAAAGTTATATTTTCTAAACACAAAATTCTGCATTTGGCAAAGAGTAGACCAACAAAATTTTCAAACTCTCTCTTTTCTCCCAAATTACCTGCATTACTTTATGCAAGTAATTCTAAGTTGATTTCTTTCTGTCCCAATAGCTGTATTACCATTTTAAAACATTTTTAACAGCATAATTCAATTCCATATGCTGATGAAAGATAAATTTCTCTATAGTCTGAAAACAGCACAGATTCTTGGAGGGGTATAGTTTTCTTTTTTCCAGACAAGTTTGAAACAAATGTTTCTGAAAGGTATTTTTTAACTTGAAATTTTTACTTCTCCTTTATCTGTATTATTTATCTACACTGAGCTTGAGTGGTTCTTAATGTTGAGCTATTTTCAAAAGCTAAGCCCTTGGAAGCAAATGGACAGATTTTTATCTGTAAAATTCCTTTTTGATATAGAAGAAACAAACATTTGGGAATAAATGAGAAACTATATTTTAAGTGTTCTCATGTTAAGATACATCACCTACAAATGTAATGCTGTTAGCACTTATTATTACACCATACTGTCATCTAATAGGTTAGACACTGAGATGTTTTTCCTCTATTCAGGTGAATGGAGAGTCATTTGAATCTTCTATTTGTACACAGTGTGTTTTTTCCTTCCCAACTTATTACACCAGACTTGATTGTGTACAAAATAAGGCTGCAAATTTTTGATCGTTACTTCAACTTGTCATGATTGCTGTTTGTCACTCATCCCCTAATGCTTACTGAACCTGTCTGGGTGTGGCAGAATAAGACCTCACCAAAAGCTTTATAAGTCCTGTTCCTCCTGGCCAACCTCCATGATTCAATATAGCATGGGAAACTGAGGGTCCTTGTCCCTGCCATTTAAAAAAACACAGAGCCTGGATGCCACGATTCATCAGAGCGACCAAAAATGTTGGTACCATCTGGTTCTATTTTTAAAGCGAATTTACTCTCCCACAATATCATCTATTGTAAGTTGGGCTTATAATGCTTAGTTATTTTCCAGGGCTACATTTATAACTTTGAAAAAAATATCAAATAGAAATTAATAACATAGACAAGTAAATAGTTCCACTGGTTAGAATAAGTCCCAACACTATTCTGTAACAATTCCTATTAAAATCCAAATCCTAGATGTCATAGCTATAAGGAATTGGGTTCTTGAAAATTTTCTTTTTTCTGAAACCCTATTATTTTGCATTATGCATTCTTACTTGATCTCCTCCCTATTTGGCACTCACAGCCCCTAAGTTGGCCTCAAGTAGGGAACACATGAACTCTTCCTTTTATAGAAAATGTATCTGTAAAACACAGTTCAGCAGCTACTCAGTCACTTCACTTCTCTGCTCCATCTGTTACGCTGTTTTTGTGATTGATCCATATTATTAAATTTTTGTAGGTCTTAATTCTATCTCTACTGTTCAGTTACTCAAACTCAGTTCTAAGTCCATCAGTAAGGCTTCCATTTTGGATCCCTATTTCCTCATTATCTCAAAGAGGGTTTTGATCTACAACTCAAAGTAGAATTATTATTAAACTGTAAGAAATTTAAAGAAATAAAATTTTCTAATTTTTCTTTTATTTTAACATCTTTATTGGAGTATAATTGCTTTACAATGTTGTGTTAGCTTCTGCTTTATAACAAAGTGAATCAGCTATACACATACATATATATCCTCCCTCTTGCCTCTCCCTCCTACCCTCCCTATCCCACCCCTCTAGGTGGTCGCAAAGCACCGAGCTGATCTCCCTGTGCTATGCGGCTGCTTCCCACTAGCTACCTATTTTACATTTGGTAGTGTATATATGTCCATGGCACCGAGCTGATCTCCCGTGCTATGTGGCTTCTTCCCACTAGCTATTTTACATTTGGTTGTATATATAAGTCCATGCCACTCTCTCACTTCGTCCCAGCTTACCCTTCCCCCACCCTGTGTCCTAAAGCCCATTCTCTACATCTGCGTCTTTATTCCTATCCTGCCCCTGGTTCTTCAGAACCTTTTTTTTTTAGATTCCATATATATGTGTTAGCATGCGGTATTTGTTTTTCTCTTTCTGACTTACTTCACTCTGTACGACAAACTCTAGGTCCATCCACCTCACTACAAAGCACTGAATTTCATTTCTTTTTATGGCTAATAGTCCATTGTATATATGTGTCACATTTTCTTTCTCCATTCATCTGTGATGACTACTTACATGTTTTCTTAAACTTTAAACCTTCAAATTGCTTTACACATACATACATCTTTGGTAACTTTGCTTCATACTTAGGTATATTCTAACTATTGAGTTATCTGGACATATTCTGTCTACTGGGTGATCTAGCATATATCCACAAAAGTCTGTGCAATATTATCACTACAAATGCTTTGCCCAGATCATATTCCAAGAACCCATGGCCTCTCACTGTTGAATTCCTTAACAACTAGAGATACCTGTCCACTTCAACCACAGGAGGCCATTGTCAAGCTAAACACAACATCACATTTAATTATCATGTACCTGCTATATCCGTGTCACCTTTCTCAACATTATTTTCTTCCCAAACCATACTCCCTACTTACTCCAGGTTTCCAACTATTACCTCTATGTAGGAGATTACAAATTATGAGCCATTAAAGCAGTTTCAAACAGTCTACCAAATACCTTGAAACTCAATGGGTCCAAATGCAAACTCATTAACTTCACCCCCCAAGTCTTCTTCTACTGTTCTCTTTCAGTTATAACACTAATATTCTTCAAGACACTACAATCAGAAACCTTGGAATAATATTTTACTATTTCTCCTTTTTCATCTACTTGCCCGATCATTTCCAAGTCCTATCAGTTATTAATTTAAAAATATCTCAAATTATACCCTCTTCTCTGATAATGTCCTAGTTCATACTTTGCTATTGTTCCCTTAAACTGTTCTAACAGCCTCCTACTTAACTATGTGCTTTTGTTATCAGCATTGTAAACCATTTGCCATACTGCTGCCAGATTCTAAGTATAGATTTGGATATCAGATTTAGGTAGTGTATTAAAATCAATTTTACTTTACTCCCTTCTATTAAACTCCACCCAAAGCAATATAAAAATGAATATATATGGAGGAAAATCCAGCTTTGATGAAACAAGAACATGGTCACAACTCCTAACTATAAAATAATCAAGGACATTGGAAGCCAACAAATTTATCCTCAAAGTTTAATCAATTATAGATTTCTCCATGAATGTCACAATTTTTAAAATTCTATACAATAATCTTCTGATAAGAGCTTTAAGTTCTAGGGGCAATAGTGGACCACCAGAGAAGAGGAAAGGTACCCGTATGGTATCTATTTGATACTATATAAAGAAGAGCAGTAAGATAAAATGCCATTTGTATCACTTACAACCTAGCTTCCTAACCAAAGGAGACTGACAGAGATGAAACAAGGTGAAGAAGGTAGAGGAGACAGCTAGTATCAGATAATCAGACAGCCTGTGATTTGTGAGGCTTTATTTCAACTAGGGACAAATCTTCAGATAACATAGTTAAATCAGAGTCGTGAGATGCTCCACTTCACTTCCTACCTTCTGCCCTCCCCATATTATTTTTTAGCAAATAGCTACGTCCACTAAAGATGCATCATAATCAAAAAGGAATAATCAAAGAACCTATTTATAAAAATGGGAAAAAGAAATAAAGTAACAAAATAGAGACAGAGGATAGGTTTAGGCAATAAAATCTCAGGGAAAAACCCTCAAAAATAGATATGAAGAGTCAAAGAAGAAAAACTGGGAAAGAAATTGGATGGAAACAAAAATGTTACGGAGATAAAAGCCATATTTAAAATTTACTAAATAGGATAATCACAATAAGAAATACATAATCAGAGATACAGTGAATAGTCCAAAGAAACCATATGCACACACACAAACACACACATGCACACCCCAAAATAATCACGGGAAAATGTACAGATTTTAAGAAACAAAGTAAATTAAAAATATATAATTCATTAAGAGAACAGAACATATATATTTGAAAAAATATCCAAAGACATATTAGAAGAAAAATTTTGTATGTAATTCTTGATTCCAAGATCACAAGGATATGTCACTCTTAGAAATTTGATACTAACTGTTCAACCACAAGAAATATTCTGACAATATTACCAAACTTTATGAGCAAGAAAGAAACTCACTGAGCATCCCTTTAGAAAAATAAGCTCACATTAAATAGTAAAAAATTATGCTGACCTGTGATTTCTCTGCCTTATCCCTCAATGTCTGAAGATAATTCAAGCTTAAAAAGCCTGGGGGAAAAGCATTTTAGACTCAGCCAAAAACTTCCTTCTAGTATAAAAAGAAAACATGTTTTCGCCATGAAGTAGTTCTGGGAATATAAAACACATGAGCCCTTCTTGGAAAACTGCTTTGTGATAACATACAAAATACAACTAGAGGAACTGAAATAAATAACTCAGGAATGCGAAACTGTATTTTTTTAAAGACTAAAGGTAACCACCAAATGCATTTAAATAAGCTTCCATATTCTATAATTCAATGAATGACATCATTTTCCTCCAGTGATGTTCCTAATGAAAACTTAGGAGCCACTCCAGACTGATGCACTTCATGTGATGAATTGGTGATGAGGGATAACTAATGAAACTGCTTCAGTATTTTTCAACTCTATTCCTTCCTCTTGAATCTCAAGTGTTAGTTGTGGTCCAGGCCTTCCTCATTTATTTGCCTGAATTATTAAAGGAGTGCTTCCAATTGTTGCATACTTCAACAGATAGATCCATCTTACTCAAATTACTCACATGACCTTTCTAATACATAAATCTTATTCCTATTTCTCCTTTCAGTGATGCCTCACTGCCTTCATGATGAAGTCTAATCTTTGCAGGATGTAAGCAGGCTCTCTCAGTCCAACCCTTTCTTAACTTTTCCAACCCCATCTGTTACTACTCTCACCTTCATGCTATATGTTCTATCCATCATTTTCTGGAAAAAGCCTTCCCTAACACCTCTCCCCTTCCATTATGGTAATGTGCTCCCCATTACATGATTAATGAGTTCCTTAGAAATACCTTTATCATGGGGTTTTCAGTAGCTTGTTAAATAAGTTTATATCTTCTCATTTTTCTGTTTCCATGTGCCACCTCACATATATCAACTTAAAAAAGTCATTATCCTCCAACAGCTTAGTTAATTTGGTCTCTTGGACTGCCTACAAAATACTGTTCCTTCAAGTCTCACTTCATATATCAGCTCTGCTGTAAGTCTTCTGTATTAATCCAGTCCAAATTAAATGTTCCAGCCTCTATTTTTCTAAGTTTTTTCTTTTGCTTCCAGGTCACGTTGTATCTTGTGTCATATAATAGTTACTGTTTCTGTGCCTGCATCCTGCACAAATATTAGTGTCTAAAGAAGGTAAGTACTTCTTTATTCATCTCTGAATTCCACATGGCACCCACTATTGTACCTTGGTAGAAGCTCAGTAATATTGAGACTTAAGAGGAATATTATCTTTTTTTAACATCTTTATTGGAGTATAATCGCTTTACAATGTTGTGTTAGTTTCTGCTGTATAACAAAGTGAATCAGCTATATGTATACATATATCTCCCCATATCCCCTCCCTCTTGCGTCTCCCTCCCACCCTCCCTATCCCACCCCTCTAGGTGGTCACAAACCACAGAGATGATCCCTCTGTGTTATGCAGCTCCTTCCCACTAACTATTTATTTTATATTTGGTAGTGTATATATGTCAATGTTCCTCTCGCACTTCGTTCCAGCTTACCTTTCCCCCTCCCCATGTCCTCAAGTCTATTCTCTATGTCTGCATCTTTATTCCTGTCCTGTCCCTAGGTTCATCAAAACCTTTTTTTCTTTTTTTCTTTTTTTTTTTTAGATTCCATATATGTGTGTTATCATACAGTATTTATTTTTCTCTTTCTGACTTACTTCACTCTGTATGACAGACTCTAGGTCCATCCACCTCACTACAAATAACTCAATTTCATTTCTTTTTATGGATGAGTAATATTCCATTGTATATATGTGTCACATCTTCTTTATCCATTCATCTGTCGATAGAGATTTAGGTTGCTTCCATGTCCTGGCTACTGTAAATAGTGCTGCAATGAACATTGTGGTACATGACTCTTTTTAAGAGGAGTATTATTAAAGTACGTGCCAGCATAAGTAATCCCCCAAAGTGTCTCAGATCAAAGGCTCTGAAGGAGGGAGAATACATAAATAATTGCCTTTCAATATGGTGAATGCCATAATAGAGCTAAACAGAGGCTACTCATGAAATAATTCACCCATATAGGAGAGGGAGAGAATTTTGGATGCTCTTGCATAGATACATTTCTCTAGAACAAGTATATTAAACATTTATGTTAGTAAAATTCATATTTTATCATTGTTCAATATAATTTAATCTGTTCCTAGCAATATCCTATTAACATAATGCTCCTCTCAATGTAACCCATTTAAAACACAATTCATGAGACTCTTTGTATTTAGAATGAATATGGTCACTATTAATATGTTTACCCTATATTAATGCAGCATACATTCCTTAGCAATTAATGCTGGCTTTTCATATATGTTATAAATAGTCACATTTCTACTAGCTATTCTTTGATGAACTTCACTTCCAGAATCAATTCATAATGGAAACTGAGAATCCCCAAACCACTCAAGTTAGCTAGCATTTCTTTAAAAGTTCTTAAACACATCAATCAAAATTTGACAGAATTCCATTTCTGTTTCTTATAAAGACATTTTACATTTTAATATTTTTATTGAGTTTGAAAAAAGATAGCTTGTAAAATGTAAGTCTCAAATGGCTAAAACTATTTTTTGCAAATGGAACTATTAAAGCTTATTTTGTAACATGTATTTAAGCCAAAGATAGTAATTTTAGATCAAATTTCTACTTACCCAATCAATTTTATCCACATTCCAATATTTTTTTAAATCCCGAAACTGTATTAGCATTCCCTTCAGTCCCACGACAATAATACTTGCAAGAACACACTACAAATAAGAAATAAGTTGATGAAGATGCAAGATAAAGATTTTAATCTAAATTTAAAAGAATCATGGTATTTTTATGTCTTTGTCTTTGAAGTACTTACTAAAGAAAAGCAATAACCATTTAGAAGACTGAAGTAATATTCATTTTGTTTAGGACTGACCTATTATTGTACTTTAGGAATATAATAGCAATTCTAGAAAATCACAGGGTATGTGTTATGGCATTCTAAAAAAAGGAAGAAAGAAAAAGAAAAGTAGTGAATTATAAGGGTGAATGTTATAAGGCTGAATGTCCTCTTAACTTTATAATAATTATTCACTGCCATTTGTTTGAAATCTGTTTGTTGCAAAAATTAAATATTTATATAATATATTTCTTTATAATTGTCTTGAGTATCAATTTTCTGGTTTCACCTGAAAATATTTATAACTCTTGAAAAGTGAACTTGGTTATTGGGAGATCCTCTCATGAAAGTGATTTATTCTTATTACATGAATGAAGAATTAGAACAAGAAAAGACTGACACTGTCTCTGGATCTCTGAAGACCAGGATCTTACTCACATCACTTTAGTGCCCCAGGCTTCTGCAAAGCAAGGTAAACACGTGTACTAATATTCTGAGTCACTTTGTATAACCATGCATCAAGGGTGGCAAGATGCATTTTGTTGCCTACTCTCTTGCCCAGCATGTATTTTCTAAGAGTACAAATTTTATAAAATTCTTCCAAAATCTACTTCTTATAACAGATTTCCCTGGTGGTCCAGTGGTTAAGACTCTGTGCTTCCACTGCAGGGGGTTCAGGTTCAATCCCTGGTCAGTAAACTAAGGTCCAGCATGCCACATGGCACAGCCAAAAAGAAAAAGAAAAAAAGAATGGCATGTACTTCTTATAACAGAGATTGCCTAGTTCCACCTTCCAAATTAATACAGAATAAATCTAATCCCACGATGTCATTTTTATACAAAAGCCTAAGAATTAGAAAACAGCCATAGTACCCTCCCATACCTTCCCCATCAAATGTGGGCTTTTCCTACCTTTCCTCCATTCAGCCATTACTTATGTCACATAAGGTTTCAGATTTAGGATCATTAAGTTTGTTCTTCAAAGAAATTTTTAAAATACAATGATTTTCATTAAAAGTAAAGTTAAGAAGTAAATAATAAAAAGCACTACTTACCATAGGCAGCCAGTAAAGCAAGGGTCCTATTGCATAGATGACTATCAGGATGAAAATGCAAGATATTAGACAAGCCACCTGTAATATACAAGACAGACAAAAAAGAAAGCTTGAACTTTATTATTCCAAAGTTATAGGGGGAAAAAGATAATTCTTTGTTCTTCTTGATAAGAAGAAACAAAATGCTGGCATATGATTCTTAAATTAAATAGACTGTCATCTATATTTTGTAGCTGAAAGAACCCAAATGTGACAGCTGACAACTGGTGCCATCAAATTAAGTCAGCAATGACAAAAAAGCAATTCTAAACAAAGAAATAGGACACCATCAACTTTTATCACACATCACAGCATGGCTTTTTTGTTTGTTTGTTTGTTTAATAGTGAAAATGACATTTCAGCTAAAAGTCCTTTAGCCTATAGTTGTTCAGCCTGGACCCCCTTCTAGTTGTTTCCTAGTTGTTTGGGTAATAACTGAATGTGCAGCTTAGGGTTTTTCTGTGCTGATGACAAATTTCCACAGAAGCCTTTACTCTCTTTGTTGGAGTCCTTTGTTAATATGAAACAGTTATATGGGATTAAGGAAACAGACTTTTCTCTGCAGTGAAACAGACTTAATTTTATTAATCCTGAAAAGTCATTAGTATTGTGTTCTAACCAACTCAACTTGCTGACAAAAGGTAATTCAAAACAGCTCACTCCTAGCTATGCTCCACTTAATGGAGAACAAATTTCACATAAGCAAATGCTCATGTCTTAATAGAAACATTTAGCTGAACTGTAAGCCTAACAAGAGGAAAGAGGGCTTTCACAGGACCAAAACGATACCTAAAATATCTTTATAGAAAGATCAAAGGAAATAAAGCCTATTAGAGTGGCTAAAAATAAATATATAAACAAATAATCAATAGCAAGGGCTGGCAAGGACTCAGAGCAACTAGAGTTCTCAGACACTACTAGTGGTAATTCAATATGGTACAGCCACTTCAAAACCAGTTTGGCAGCTTCTTATGGAGTTACATATGACCCAGAAATACCTAAGAGAAAGGAAAACATACACCTATGAAAATACTTACATATAAATATTTATAGCAGTTTTATTCATAAATACCAAAAACTGTAAATAACTGAATTGTCCACCAATTGGTGAATAGATAAGTTTTGGGACATCCATACAATAGAATACTGCTCAACAATAAAAAAGAACAGACTATTGATACATGCAACAGCATGGATGAAACTCAAAACCATTAAACTAAATGAAAGAAGCTTGATACAAGTTCCTTCCGTATTTAGTGGAGCTCATCTATAGCACTCTCCAGCATACAAAGGGGGGAAAGTCCTTCTGTGGGAAATAAGTAATCAGAGAACTAAAGATTGTCCATGAAAGAAGTTATAGTACACAAAACTGTCACTAAACTGATTATTTAGGAGATACTGGTGATTTTACATGATAATAATTTTTAAATAACAAAATATTATGCCTGTAACCCCACTAGACTGGAGAGAGCTAGTTGTCAGAAGGCAGATTAAAGGATTCATTCAGATACCCGTGTGACTCAGTATATCCATGTTTATGTGGAAAGAAGAAGACACCAACCACTAAGGTGCACTTCATATCAAAAGACAATGGCATGAGGAGGACTTTCAAAGATGGTGGAGGATTAAGATGTGGAGATCACCTTCCTCCCCACAAATACATTAAAAATACATCTACATGTGGAACAACTCCTATAGAACACCTACTGAACACTGGCAGAAGACCTCAAACTTCCAAAAAGGCAAGAATATCCTCACTTACCTGGGTAGGGCAAAAGAAAAAAGAAAAAAAAAAAAAAAGAGAGAGAGACAAAGGAACCAGGATGGGACCTGCACCTCTGGGAGGAAGCTGTGAAGCAGGAAAAGTTTCCACACACTAGAAAACCCCTTCACTGGCCGGGAAGGGGGAGCTTCAGGGTGTCAGAGGAGAGCACAACAGGGTGTGGAGGGCAAAGTGGAGAGATTCCCACACAGAGGATCGGTGCCAACCAGTGGGTGGGGGCTGGGGCTGAGGCTTGGTCTTTGCAGGTCAGACCCCAGGGAGAGGATTGGTGTTGGATGCGTGAAGACAGCCTGAAAGGGGCTAGTACACCACAGCTAGCCAGGAGCGAGTCTTGGAAGAGTCTGGACCTGCTGGAGAGGCAAGAGACCATTGTTTTGGGGTGCACAAGGAGAGGGGCTTCCTGTGCCCACAGACGTCAGAGCACCGCCTAAGTGAGCTCGAGAGATGGGCGCAAGCCGCAGCTATCATCTCAGACCCAAAGGCAGGCACGGATTGCTAATGCTGCTGCCGCTGCCACCAAGAGTCCTGTGTGCAAGTGAAGGTCACTACCTACACCTTCCTGGGAGCCTGTCAGCACACCACTGCCAGGGTACCATGATCCAGTGCCAACTTCCCTGGGAGAACACACAGCACACCTCAGGCTGTTGCAACTTTACACTGGCCTCTGCCACCGCAGGCATTCCCCACATCACAATTGTGACTAGCATACCCCTCCCTCTCCTCGGCCAGAGTGAGCAAGAGAGCCCTAATCAGCCTCTGCTTTAACCTTGTCTTGTCTGGGTGGGGAAGAGACACCTGAGGGCAGCCTACATGCAGAGGCAGGGCCAAAACCAAAGCTGAACTGCAGGAGCCGTGCGACAAAAGAAGAGAAAGGGAAATCTCTCTGTGCAGCCTCAGGAGCAGCAGATTACATCCCCACAATTGGCTTGGTAAACCCTGCATCTATGGAATTCCTGAATAGACAACAAGTGTTCCCAAAATCGAGACTGTGGACTTTGGGGGCAACTGTGGACTTGGGGTTTAATTTCTGTGTTTGACTTATTTTTGGTTTTATGTTTATCTTAATTTAGTTTTTAGTGTTTCTTTTCATTTATGAGTTTGTTTATTGGTTTGGTTGCTCTCTTCCTTTTTTGTTTTTTTCTCTTTTGTGAGTGTGTGTGTGTGTGTGTGTGTGTGTGTGTGTGTGTATGTTTCTCTGTGTGATTTGTCTGTTTAGTTTTGCTCTTTTAAAAAAATTAATCACTTATATAAATACTCAGGAATATAAAACTGGCCAGAAGGAATTTGGGGTTCATGTGATCTAGAAAATATTCAACATTAAACTGATATCTGGTATTGAAGGTGGCTTAAGTTTGTTGATCTAATTAATATAGACATGTCTTTAGAGTCATTAATATTAGGCATAATACTTTATTGTACCTAGGAATGAAATAAGACCTTATTACATCTGTTGCAAGGAAAATAACTTGATAGGATGAAACTTTAAATGTAAATGAGATAAGAGCTTTCAGGTAAATGTTATAGGAATAATTATGTTCTGAAAATTATCTAAAATAGTGTCTCCAGATTTGGGTAACTATTACTTGCCACTTGGTTTTCACTAAAAATTAAGGTTTTTAAGAGTTGGGGACTCTAATTTAAATATGTAATTAAAGCTACTAAAAATAATAAAATCTTTCACTGTATAATAGGAAAGTGGGACATATGTTTTGAGTAAAAAGGAGTTTTATGCATGGTCAGACTGAGATTATATTAAACTTAATTGGGTAAATGGATTTTGTTATTAAAAGTAGACTGGTGCAGGATCAGACTTGTCTCCTCTCTGCTAAGAGAACAAGTTTACTTAGAATGCTGCTTTTGATAACATATTGTGTGAACTATCTTGCCCTTAACTGAGCTGTATTTGTTCTTAAATATTCTATCTGACCAAATGCTTTTTAAGAAAAAGCTTTTTGATATTTTGGATGAATTTCCTATCAAATTCTAATTAAAGTTCTTTTGACTTCAGCTAGCTTTGTGATGCTTCAGAGGGCCCCAGAAAGCCTTCCTTATTGCACATGTTTCACCCGTGGTGGAGCATTGATTGGGATTTTCCCTTTTGAACTCGCCTTGGTCATTCATACAGCTTTATCTTTGATGGGGCATTGGTTGGGGTTCTTCCCTTTTGGACTGATGGGGTATTGGTTCGGAATCTTCCTTTTTTTGTGGCTGAGGAAATGTGACCCTGAGAGACTGATTTGATAACAGGACTCGTGTGTGACAACACCAGGGTATACTTCCCTACTGCATTGGTTTTGCCTGCAGCGAAGCATTCATTGGGATTTTCTTCCTTTTTGGGGGGCTAGGGAACTGTGACCCTAAGGCACCTCAGAAGAAAATAAATATTTTATATATATATATAAAACTGACTAGAATTGGTTGGTATGCTAAATTACATGGAAAGCATTGTCAAATGAGCAATAAGCCTCCTCAGATTATATGGTATGAATAAATGTTATTAAAATAGATTTTCTAAAAATTATACAAAGTTTCTGAAATTTGCATATGTTCTGGTATAATACTATACTTTTAGTTGTTATCTTAAAATGCTGTATTTCACAACAACTTGGATAAGCTTCTTTGCCAAGAAGAATTCTAATCACATCTTTATCCTTGCCATTTTAAGACTTTTGTCATTCATAGGCAGCTTAGGTGATGATTTGCAAAACTGCTACATCTTCAAGAAGGCTCATAAAAAGGAAATTTTTTTTAACAAATATGTTTCTGATAGCCTTTAAATAATACCACTAGACTGAGTAACAAATGACAAATCTGGATGAACTGATTACTTCATCCAGATCAACAGGAATTAATTACATGGGACTGAATGAACTGATGAGTATGTTATAACTATATGACTTTGGAAAATATACTAGCCCTAACCTTTGTTTTCCAGAAAAACCTTTTCTCTTATGTTATGACCTACAACAAGTTGATAAAGTATACCCTTGTAAACAAAGATGAAACATTAATCTTTTTCCCTCTACCTGATCCTGCCTGAATTTGGCTTCTCCAGCTGGCTCTCCTGTGGACTTGATGGTTTATTGTAACTGGATTACAACCAGTTATACTAAGCATTGTTTTTGCTTATTCTTTGTTTCCAAATTGTTTATGCTTTGTGTCTTCCTGCTGCACTATGACTTTGTCAATGTTACTACCTGCATTACTTATATCCTGTCTATTTTATAAGATTGCTGTCTCTTACAGTGTGTAATCAGGCCTCCAACAAAATTGATGATGGCTAAACATCTTGAGGAAATAGATCACATTTATGACTCTTATAGAATAATTGTAATAGTGTGATTCTAAGTGTGGGAAGAAGCAATAAGGGAAAACATTTCTTGGATCACAATAGACTAGAAAGACAGAGGATTCAGAGAATCTTTAATTATCAACAGGGCCTAATCCAGAAATTAGCACCTGGAGTGCCATATCAACAAGAATTTTTGCCTCATCTGGGATGAGCCTCCCAGTGCTGTGGGACAAAATTTGGTCATGAAATGTCTCCCAAATACTGGTCAAATTCCAGACCAAGAGAAAGATCTGAGAAATTGAATATTTCCATTAGTCTGTCATCTTCTCAGATGCCAATGTTTCTGAATTAAGTCGCTATTCCTTGCCTCAACACCTCGTCTCCCAATTTATTGGCCTGTCATGTGGTGAGCAGAGCAAGCTTGGACTTGGTAAAAGTATCAGCAAAATTGACTAGTTTTATAATTATCAGATACTTTCATTTTTCAGTAATTCTTTGTGTGTGTGTGTGTGTGTGTGTGTGTGTGTGTGTGTGTGTGTGGTACGCGGGCCTCTCACTGCTGTGACCTCTCCCGTTGCAGAACATAGGCTCCGGACTCACAGGCTCAGCGGCCATGGCTCATGGACCCAGCCACTCCGCGGCATGTGGGATCTTCCCAGACTGGGGCACGAACCCGTGTCCCCTGCATTGGCAGGTGGACTCTCAACCACTGCGCCACCAGGGAAGCCCTGCCGTTTTTCATTAATTATTTCCACACATAGTTATTGAACACCTACTATGTGTTAAGTCTTGGGCTGGACACTGAGAATATGGTGAACCAAAGCAGTCTAGGAGCTGAAGTCAAGAGCAGAAGGCAGACATCAATCATATAATCACACTGATGAACACTTAATGTCCCACAGAGCTAAAGTCTCTGAAGAAAAGAACACAGTTGACCCAAAAGTGTCAGTGAGATCTGAAGGATGGGAGGAGTTAACTTAGAGGAGGCAGCCACAGAGACAAAAGGAACAGACACTGGAGCCCACGAAGAAGGAGGAGCTGTGACTGGTGAGCTGAGACTGAGGTGGAGAAGAGTCCGAGATGAGGCTGTAGGGGGAAGCACTCAGTTTTGGTATCATAAAGGTCTGAATTCTAAGACCTATGTAAAACCTTTTATGGGCTCTAGGAGGAAGTAACAAGATCATATTTGTATTTTAAAAGATATCTTTCTACAGAAATACTAATAGTGTTTCTGAACAAGAAAGAGTCAGTTGGTGAAATAATTGACAAATGCAAGGTGGTTCCCACTGCTACTTTGATTGGCTATTATTAGCCTAAAAGTTGAAGGGTTTTAATTCTTCTAGATTAACTTACTGGGTATAAGTCTAGTACCCATGAGAGACTGAGCTATTTAAGGGATTTCTTTGTGAAGTATTGTCACATAGAAAACTGGTTTTACAGCCTATTTAGAACAAAACTTTTAAGACTTGGCTTGCCCAGTGCCTTCTTCAAATCATGTCAGTTATCCCCATGTAAACTTAATAGTTGTAATGCCAAAATGACTACCATGGGAAAGCATCCTCGATTTGGGTATGCACATTAAATCAGATTCCTTCTCTGTGCAATTTAATGGGAATTGTTGAGCAGACTAGTGACAATCTCAACAAACAGAACAGCATGAAAATACTGTGCTGCCAAGCTTTGTTTCCCTGAACTAGTATTTTTTTAGATAACTTTTGTTTCTTCTGAAGTCTGATGAATTGAATACCATGCAGAAATGATGAGAGGAAATCTAACACACTCATCCTTGTAAGAAACTAGGTGGAAACCACTATAGAATCGTGGAATTTTATAGATAGAAGAGTCTCCAGAGTAAGGAATGATACTTGAGCACACTATGTATTAAACATTCAAATTTAGGTTACAAGTATGTGAGAGTTTGCAAAAATGTTTATGCCAATACACATGATGAACTTATGCTTTAAATCACAAACTGTGTAAAAATCAAATTGCCATGTAAAACAATGTTGAATGAGAATTACACATCTTTGATGATGACTTGTGGCAATAATATGTCAAATTATTATAGATTCAGAATTTGTTGCTGCTTCCCCTCTGCTCCATGGTACGTTCATCAAATTTTATTCGTTAATTTTACACAATATTTTAATGTTCATTTACCCATCTTTCTCTGGCCACTTGGCCCCAATGTCAAGAACCATATCCTTTTCAAATTTACTCTTCTACAACCCCTGAAAGGACTTAATATAAGGTAAACTCCTAATAAATGTTTAAATTATCACATAAAATGTTTTATAAATTCTCATTCAACTCCAATTTAAAATAAATGTGAATTGTTTTATAATGGTTAGCTGTTAATGTTAATTTATTAAATTAACATATACATGAATTTTCTTGTATAGAACAGTAATTAAGAATGCAAGATTTGGAGTAGATCTATCTGGGTTCAAATCCCAGCTCTGTCACTTACAAGCTCTGTGACTTGGATAAGTTAGTTTAACCCTCTTTTCCTCAACTTTCTCATGTGGAAACATAGCATAATAATTACACCTCCTTCATAGAGGTACCTAAAACATTAAATGAGTTCATTTATGTAAAATGTATGACATGCATATAACTTGATATATGCTTCCACCAACACCACCACCATCATCATCATCACAGAAACATCTTTATTACTACCATCGACATCTTATCAGTACCAAGCATAATAACTAGTATATAAAAGGTTCTCAAATGTCAAATTGATTTGAGTTCCTAAAAATACATAATTGTTTATTTAAACCAAAATGTGCACAGACATCATATTATTCATTTACATACATGTACATCTCTATAGACAGGAATGTCATTGTCAAGGACTGATTTTTCCTACAATTGTTTTCATTTTATTTAAAGGAAGTGAACGAAAATTTTTAAATTTCAAATTGACTGGTTAGATTAGCAAAAAGTACAATCAGAGACACCACTAGAGGGAGCATTTGTTCAAAGATTGACAACAATAAAGCTACCATTAAAACAGGATTTTTTTGTCTGCTCGTTGAATCATTCAGCTTCTCAAGGATCTTTCCTAAGAAAGAGAAGAGATAGAATTCCTTGATACTAGTTTTAAGAAATTGAAGACGTAAACATATTCTCAGGACTTTAGAGAGAAGCTCATTCTTCCCACTCTCCAAGGAGAGTAAAGGCCCGTCAGTTCTTTTGTCCCTGCTGAAAATAAAGTTACCTGTGTCTTTGCTCCCGTGCTATATAGGACAGCGGTCCTTCCCATGGCAGCAGCACTTGGTATGCAGAAGAAAAATGAAGGAATCACATTGCTGAGGCCATGGGCCAAAAGTTCCTACAGGAACGATAATAGGAGAATATATCATTTCCTAATCACAATCAACTTTTAGAGACCACAGGTAAAACTTATCATGGAATGAGACTTATTCTGTATTCTATTTATGTTCTCTCCAATGGTCGTAATTTAACCATTATTTTAAGAATAGCTAACATTTATTGAGTGCTTACAATGAGCCAGAAACTGTTCTAAGCACTTCATTGTTTAATCCTTATAACAATAGCAACCTTATAGGGAAGTACAAGGTATTTATTGTATCTGTTGCCAATTTCTCCTCTTTAGGGTCATTAGAATCAAGGTTTTGTTCCCACCTCTCCACCGATGACCTCCACAGTGCTAAATCCAATGGTTAATTCCTACCCTACCAGGCCTAAAATTAACATTTGACACAGTTGCTCACTTCCTCCTCCTTAAAGGCTCCTTCTACGACCTCTCACCCTCCTGGTTTTCTCCTACCTCCCTGGCCACCACTTCTCAGTCTCCTTTGTGGTTCCTTCTGATCTAACCAATCACAGATATTGGACCACTTCCCTCTCTAATCTTAGCTACCCAAATACATGTTGACAGCCCCCAAATTTATATCTCCAGTCTAGACCACTCTTCTGAATTTCAGACTGACATAGCCAACCTGCCACTCAGCATTTTCATTTGGATGGTTAACAGGTATCTCAAACTTACCTACTCAGGCTATGCTCTATATATTCCCACCCCGGTTCTCCCACATCCTTCCCTGTCTCAAGCTCCAGTTGCTTGGGCCAAAAGCTTTAGAGATAGTCTTGACTACCCCTTTTCCCAGATTGTGTCCACATCCAATGCAGAATTTGTCCGTTTCTCATCTCCTTCACTGCTACATCCTGGTCCAAGTCATCAAGTGTCATTTGGATTATTGCAAAAGCCTCCTAATGTTTTTCTGCTTCTGCTGTTGCCAGTAAATAATACAGACAAAAATCCCTACCCTCACAGACTGGAGTTCTAGTGAGGGAATGCTGACAATAAACAAGATGAATATGGAAAGTAAAGCAGAGAAGGGAGTGGAAAATTTTGGAATTTAGGATTTTAGCTTACCAAGGAAGGATGCCCTGAGAAGGGAACATTTTAATAAAGGAGGCATGCAGCTACCTGAGGGTACAAAATTCCTGGAAACGGGGACAGCAAGTACAAATGTCCTGAGCTAGAAACATGACTAGTGAACTCAAGGAAAAACAAGGCAGTAAGTGTGGCTAGAACTATAAAAGAAATATGTGAGCATAGAGGAAAAGGGATGGTGACAAGGTCAGGTATGGCCTTGTAAGCCTTGGTAATAGGCTTTTAATCTGAGTACTATGGGAAGCCACTGGGAGGTTTTGAGATGAGGAAAGACATGGTCTGCATTATGCACCATTGTATCCCTTGTTCCTAGGCCAGTACCTGGTAAATAATAGGGTTCAGTACACATCTGTTGAATGAATAAATCTGCTTTTTTACAGATGACAAAACTGGGGCACAGAAACAATTTTAGAGTGAGATTTAGATATAGGTACTTTGGCATTCTAACCACTATTCCATAGCTATCTCTGCAGGCCTGTGCAGAAATGTAGGGCCACAGGGCTTGAGACAAGACACTAGCAGAGGTAGATTCAGAAACATGCTCAATAAAATCTTCATCCTTTGGTATTCTAAGAATAGACCCTTGCAACCTTTAGTTTTTTACTAAGAAGAGTAATATTAGTGTTCTTTGTATTTTGAAATCCAAAAATTTTAAGTCAGCATGCAATGATAAATATATTTAGATTCTCTCCTAAAACCAAATCATCAAGATGCCCCTCTCTAAAAAACAGAGTGTACCATAACCAATCAACGAAAGTCAGATTTTCACCTTTCTATGAATGACTTAGATATTTTCTTTTGTTTTCTTCTACCCATTTGTGTTATACACTTAGGAAAGTTGTATTTTTCATAAGTTCAACATTTTCAGGATCTGGGAGTACATCGTACAGTGATACAATAGCTATGGAGAGGCGTGGAGAGGGGTTGGGGTGTACTCCACCTGGTTGTCATCAACTGAATATTTGAATTTTTTGGCAGATCCTTGAGCAAGAGTCAGTGAGGCCACATAGCCTACAAGTGCCACTCCAAAAGCTTCAGTGATTACTGCAGAGAGGATGTTCATTGGGGGAGCTGTAGGTGGAGGAATTCTGTTGAAAGAAAGACCATATTGAACTCATCAACTTTCATGTTATTTCTGTAACAACTTGCAGTGAATTCCACTATGGCAATGACTCTGAAGTTTACATAGAATACATGAAATATCCCTGAGAAAACCAAGCAATCTTGCCCTTAGAAGCTTTTTGTTTTCAACATTATTTAGCAGAAAAGAAAAATCACAAAGAACACCACAAGGACAGCTCCATGCATCTAACTGGCATTCACTCCCAGAGAATTCAGGTTATAGCACAGAAAATTTGACTCAACAAAAATTTCCTGTATCAGAACAAAAGCAAATCTGGAGCATCTTTCATTGAATCTTCCTAAACTTTTATTTGGCTGGCATTAGAAACTGTATTTCCTGCCTTGAATACTGCAGTGCTGTATGCAAACATTAGTTTACTGTGAGCTACGATTCTTGAGCTAATCCTTAAATTTTCCATTGAGTTTATAATCTTAATTATGTTTTTTAACATGATTCTTTCACAGTACACTTAACTATTGTTAAAAAAGAGACAACAGGCCCACAATGGAGTCACTTGTGCTAAGCCCCATTTAAGCAAACCAAGAATTAATACCTAATTTAACTGCAGTTTCAGCCTTTCCCAGGAATGTAACCTTAGCCAGTCAATCTAGAATTACCTGGTCAACACTAGCGAGGTAATTTGCCCTTCTGTCCCACATAGGAAAGTGACCTTGCCTGAAACAATCCACTCTTTGCTAGAAACTTCCTTTTCCTGCCCTTCCCCTTCTGACTATAAAAGCCTTTCATTTTGTACAGCTCTTCAGGTCTCCTTTTGATTTGCTAGACGGGTTGCTTCTCAATTAAGGAATTGTTGAACAGAGTCAATAAGACCTCTAATTGTACTCAGTTGAATTTTGTTTTTTGACTCTATGTATCACATGTTATCTATAAAGTGTCCAGCTACACTCTGTTGCAAAATACTGGACCACAGTTAGCTGTTTCTCAGTTTTAAATAACTGTTTAAAATATTTCTTCCAACTAATACACAGTCATTGTCTTATTGTCTTTTTGAAAACCACTTGAGCCCAGTGTCATTGTTTATTTATCCCTGATGATGCTTTGTGACACTTACTTCCCCTCTTTAAAAAAAACCCTCTGGGGCAAAAGTAGAAGAAAAAGGTAAAATAATTCATGCTGATTTAATACTGAGCATATAAATTGAATGTTCAGCACTTTCATATTAGCCGTTTTATTTGATTCTCCCCACAATCTCCAGACCAAGTACCACTAATGCAAAGTATACAGGAGAAAACATTTTGAGAATTCACAAAATGAATTCAACCTCAGCTCCATTTCTTATCAATGCCATGTTTTTCCTATGATTCTTTAAGAAGATGGGTCTGGAAAGGTTACTCAAAATAAAGAAGAATTAGACTGGATGGAGGAGAGGCATGATTTTTTTTTACCTACTCCCTCAAGTTTATCCCCAAGTCAAATTGATTTGTACCATTACAAGCCCTAAGATATATGATACATAAAAGTGCTACCATTTCAAACTATAAGAACTTTTGTTTCATAAAAAATTGAGCTTGCCTAATTATTAATAATGATAAACTAAGCTAGAGAAAAAAACAATAAACTAAATTTGAAGGTGAAAAGTAGAGAACCCTTTAGAAAACACAGGTTGATTCCAATAATCACTATTAGCCTATATCTTTAGCATAAAGGCTAAAGACAGGATTTTTTAAATTATCTTTTTAATCTCTGAAAATTTTTCTACTGTCCCTCCATTTTAATGTAGTTAGAAGCCAAACTTTGGGACTGGAAAATAAAAATATAGAGGACTCAGCAACTCTAACTTTGTCCCAAATTTATAAATATTGGTGTATAGTACAGCCCATTAAAAGAGACATCCCCTTTTTCCCCTAAGATGATTTTATTTTCTTTCAGGCTATATTTGGAACAATATTTTGTCTTTTCAGGGTTAACACTTCTTGTTAATCTTCCTCTTATTGTCTTGAGAAAGGCTTTAAGACAGGTGGAGAACATGCTCTCATCTCCACTTCCATCCTCTCTTTCACGATTGTACACCACTCATGTCTATAGGTTTACTATTTCAGATGATGCTTGTGCATTTTTACTATGTTTTAAGTGAAATAAAAATAGTTATAGGAATATGTGAGTGGAATAGGGAAGACTATATCCTAGAGCATGACTCTAATTTGGAAATTCAATGTCTTGCTTTCTTTTTGAAATAATATTCATGTAATTTCCAAATCTTTTACCAGAAGCGATGCTGTATAAAATAGTTATCAACTTCCTAAGTAATTGATAAGCAGTCTAAGAAGTTATTTTTCTTTATTGTGAACTGTTTGTTTTTATCATTGTAAAATAGAAATTAATTGGAATTTTGTCCCATAGAGAGCATTTGAAAGAAATGAAATTCATATCCACCTACCTCCAGTTGCTTCCTCCATCAAAAAACAAATGAAAGAAAGAAGGAAAAAAGAAGAAAGGAAAGAAAGAAGGAAAGAAAAAAAGAAAAAAGAAAGAAAGGAAAAAAAAGATTACATTACCCTTTTGGAATATGACCAACTACTTCTAATCCATATGTGTTTTCCATATTGGTACAATAACAAGTAAATGATGCAGCAATAATCTGTGTGGTTCCATTTGGAAAAAGAAAAAGAAAATTATTCCTGGCTTCTCAAACATCTTAAAACTATTTTTAAAAGTAAATATTGTTCATGTGCCCCATGATTTTCTCAAGTAATATAGCAGTGGCACAGATTTTTAAACACTAAGAAGAATTTTAAAAATCAAAAAATCCCTCTCGGATTTGACAGCACTTAATCTGCAGTCTCAAAAATTAAATGGCATTACAATAATACAACTTTTCTTATATCTTTCCCAATTGTGTCTGATTCTGAAGGGGAGCAGAACACAGAATATAGGAGTGTGTGTGTGCATGCATGCATGCTTGTGTATGTACAGATACCACAATCCAACCTAAATACTTGTCTCTTGTAATATGAAGGGATGCTTTATAACACAGAATGTTTTCCCTCCATTGCAGCAACCATCTAAGAGTTTAAGATGTTGCATCAATATTCCTAATGTAGGTTAGTAATCAATGATGATTTACAGTCTCCTTGAATAATTTTTAATTTTGAGTTTTGCTATTTCTTGAAGTAAAATATCCTAGTTAATAATGTGTCAAACTTGATACTTTTGAAATTACCTCCCTGGAGTCTCAGGTGCCTGACCCTCTGTTATATGATATAATGATATATAATAAGTGAAACCAAGTGTTTGCAAATATCCATGATCACCTTTAAAATGTTTGTTCAGAATTCTGTTCAGCATTTGTTTTTACCAGCCATGACAACTTAATGTTTTCCAACCATTTTCACATTCTTTTTTCATTCTTCTGATAATTTAATAGGTGCTGTAAATTTCACATGGCTATCATATCAGTTTGGTATAACTATTTATATACTACAGTTTTTTGTTTAAAAGAGACACACTAATTACCTATTTAAAGTACAAATTTACCATATACATGGTCAGAAAAAAGATATAACAAAGTCACACTAGCAAAATAAGGAATATCTAACAATGCCCGATAATATTATTTTGTAGGGATTTTTCCTGTGTATTTCTGTTTTCTGTGATGATATTTAACTGAATTTATAGAAGTTTTTAAAACATTGAACAGACTTAAAAAGCAAAAGAGCCTTGAGGATATTTTTTAAAGGCAGCAAAACTCTACAGGTTATACTTTAAACTTTATAGATATTGTGCTATAATTGTATTTTCTACAGAATATAGTCGTAGTTAAAAGTTCAGGCTATTAGGTTGGAATCAGAAGTATTAATGCATTCAAAAATTTCTAAGCCAATTAATAAATTTTAATTGCTAATAATTTTCATGAACTATTTATATCAAGTCAGAAATTATTGTGAGCTGTAAAAGAAAATACACCATAGCCACAAGATGCTGGATCCTTATTGAAAATGGAAGAAAACATGGTGTTTAATACACATAGCCAATATTAAAATTAAGTAATCTAAGTCACTAACTTGGTCTTTCAGACAGTGCTTTAGAAGGTTCTAATCTGGTCATCCTCCTACTGTAGCTCTCCCCATAAGATGGGAGTTTTGTGGGGTCAAAGGGAGGTACCCAACTCAAACCTGGACTCCTCTTTCTGGACCACACCCTGAATCATCAGGAATCTATAGTTTCCTGCCTAAATGGCTCCAAGTCTACTTCCAGAATACCTTCCCCAGGTCTATCCTTCCAGTGTAGCCCAAGGAAAGGCCAAGGGACAGTTGTGGGGCAAGGGTATCCACATTTATACTTATGAATCCCACTGTATACGGGATAGAGCTGAAGTAGGAAGAGAAGAGGCAGGCCAAGGGACTGGCTTTCCCCTTGCTGCCACATTCTGGCAGAACCCAAAGGATTAGGAGAATTCTGTATTTTAACCTGACTTTCAAGGTAATCACTAAGGTAGTCAAGGTAGGAAAAGAGAACCTATTTTATTTATTTATTTTATTTAGCATTTTGATCTATAACTCTTAAGTATTTGGACCTGCATTATTATTTTTGCCTTAGATCTTACACATATTAGGGGCAACACCTTTTATTTTTTGTAAGGATAATTCTTACAATTTTTATATTGAATGAACAACTGTCTTATTCAGTGTTTTATTCAGTATTGAATAAAAAGAGTTCAAGAGTCTTCTTCCCCAAGGTTATTTTCAATTTCTGGTTTCATGAAACATATAATCAAGCTTCCCAGGATATAATAAGCATTCCTTAATACCTATAGGACTTTGGAATAAAATATGTTTCACAGTTGTCTCCATAAAAACTACTAATAATCATAGTACCCTCCACTTGTCTGGCTTATTTGAAATACCCACACATATACAAGCACACACACATTATATAGATTACATAAGTTATATGTATCTCTACAAATTATACAAGGCCTAATTATGGAGAGAAGCCATCCATCTTAGTTATCCAAAAAAATGTCATATCCCTCAGAGACAGTTGTCAATGTGCTAGCCTTATACATCTACATAAACCTATACCATTTCAACAGTATGAAGGGATATTTCAATAGGTGAAATTATTTAGACACCACTTGTCATATACATGTATATAACCCAAAGACTGTTAAAAAAACTAAAGCCAATTAATAATAAGTAAGTTAGTAGACTGTGGTTGGCTTAACATTTCATTTTCAATGCAATGCTTTGTTTAGTTAAGAGTTCCCATTAGAGGCACTTAAAATTTCAAAATGTATTTTTTAATGCCATAAGCCTTAGGAGCAAAGTACGATTTGTTGCTTTGCCAACTACAACAACAACAACAAAATCTTAGAGAATCAGCCCTGGCTAGTGAAAATCATGAGTAACCTTTAATAAAGCAAAATTGGGTCAATAAAAGCAGTGTCAGTAAATTTATCAATCATTAATGGACATTTGTCAGTTGATAATATTTCTATGCATCATACCATACAAATAACATATCAATAGGATGTGGTATCACTTCTTGTTGCTTTAGGAGAATCATGCCAGAGATCTTTGGGGTCTCACCCTTAGAAATGTCTCCTTATTTAAAATCTTAAGCTACATGTTTTCTTATTTACCTAAAAAAAAACAAGCATCTGTGAAAATTGAAAACACTTGTGCCTCCTTTATAAAATTATTGACAACATATTTCCTTTCTTTACATTAATGTATAGCCACGCAAATTAGCCCTGCTTTAATGAGAGACAGGATTAGCTGTGGCTTACTTTAGACAATAATGTGAGCCACTGCAAGTTACCCACAGCAACTGCAAGCATTGCAGGGCAGAATGCTAAATGTTGATTCATACTTACCAAGACTAAGTCAATAGGAAGAACAATTTTAATTTTCCTTTTAAACTGTTCATTCAGCTCTTTAACCAGAACAAGCACCACGATGCTCAGCAAGGATAAGAGCAGTGCTTCCAGTCGCACAGACTTGATGTTTTCAAAGACATATGCATAGATCTACAGTAATGAGGAAAAATACAAACAAAATTCAGGATCACCCACAATATATCAAAACTAAAATCTGGCCCCCAAATGAACTCAGTGATGTTTTGCAAAAAATAGCTGAAGGGGTGAGAAGTGAAAGGTGGGGCATAGAAGGGTAGTCAGTGCTGATATAGAGCAAGCTATTTCGCATGTAGAAAATTGCTTTGCCCTTGATTCTTCCACCAAACTCAGTGTTTGTTCCTTCCTACATAAGGACACTACTACACTTCCAGCTCCTCCCCAGACACTTATGGGCAGAGATGCTAAAACTCATTAGCTACATGCAGATCCATCATTAAGAGCAAGTGAGGGGACTATAGGCTCCCTTGAACCCCACCACTCTTCTTCAAACCTCAGAATCAAAATACACACATACTTTAAATATCAATGGATATATCTGGAAGTTAATAGCTCTGTGTAAGGAGATATTTGTGTTAATCTGTATCTTCCAAATTTTCTCTTACAAAGATGTATGACTTGTATAATTTTAAGGTTTCACATAGGCCTTAAATGCTTATCTTCAAAATGTCTCAACTCCTCCTTTTCTTCAAATATGTTAAATCTGATTTTTATAAACTCATTTCTACTCATCCACAGCTGATTTATTAAGTCTAGTTTCAAGTGATAAAAACTAGTTTCTACTTTAGCATACAGACAAAGTAGCCCAACTTGTTGGTGTTCTTTGCCCTCTCTTTTTAGTATCTCAAAGATAATTTGACCACAACTAAAAATATTGGATTAAAATACTATATAGACAACATATCAAAAGAATTTATATAGACTATGTTCCTCAGCGTCTCCTGAAATTTTGCTCAGTAGGTTTCCTCATTGAACCCATCTGATCCAAGGATCAGGAACACACCTGGTGTAAATGAGGTACATCAGGCTATCTAACATGGATTCTATATATTGAATATTATCATTAACACTGTAACTCTTTCAAACAAAGAAAATATACTCAGTTAACATGGAGCCTTGCTGGGTGAATGGGATTGGGGTAATGTAGAATCCAGAATCTCCTTTGTCCACACAGTTAGAAAAAATTGGTTGTGTAATCAAATACATTAAGGAATAATTGGGGGTCAGATAGCTTTACTTGTTACCCTTTTCACAGCATTCTAGTATTCCACACTACTTGGAAAGAAAATCAGGTACGACAATATCATGGTTATCTGAGATGCAGACAATATTTTTCCTCTCTGCTTAATCTGTGGATAATAACTGTTCACAGAACTCCTACAGCAAGTGAAGAAGCAGGTTCCATTTCTCATAGTTACCCCTACCCCTTACTCAAAGCCCAGGACAAAAATCCAAAATGCTACTCAAAGAAATATATTCTATAGTGGATGGAGTCAGAGGGATGTCAAGAAAATTTGGTCCAAATACACAGCTTTCTGATGATTTATTATGATCCAAATATAAAATTGAGACTATCATTCAGATGATTTGCCAAGAATAAAACAAGCATCCAAACGTTTTAAAACATTTAGAGGCTTATTCCTTCTGTTTTATCCATGGTATTAAAAGTATGCCTTGACAGTGCCTGTATAAGAAATCAGAGAAATGTGAAAAACTTGCAAGCCATACCAAATTTGCTGTAATGTGCATTTCGAGAACATGTGTTTGCAGTAATAAAAATGGCCACCCCAGAAAGAAAGGAATGAGAAACTCTCCCCCAGGGTTTTTATTGTCTGTCTGAATTAAACTACAATTTGTAGAGCAAATTACATCTCACAAAATGCTCCAGAAGAAGATGGGGGTGGGCAGAGGCTTGTTACAACCAGCACGAAGAACAGCAATAGAAAAATAGGCTGATGAGGAGTTATACTAATGACTATCATGTGGACCACATAGAGAAATCACAGCTAAAGATGGCTTCTAGGAGATGGGTGGCATTTGGAGATAGAAATAGGGACAGGGACAGGCATGTGCAAACACATACACATGCACACCTTTACGCATGCTCATTTAATATAGGTCTAGGCCTCCTAAACACACATTGACATTTCTCATTTCTATTATAAATGAAGTCATTTGGGTATGTTATCACACACTACACTTCAGTAGATAAAAATTCCTATTGAAGATCATCATTCATTTCCCAGACCTCAGAGAAGCAATGATAGTTTATATGTGTATAGATAAATAAGTAAACTATTTCATTAGAACTGACCAATCTGTTTTATAAAATAGGAGTTTAACTCAGTTTGAGACTATAATATTAGTAATTCTTTAAACTGGCCATTTAATATAACTTGAAATAAAATGAAATATATCAATATATATAAACAAATGCATTTTGAGATATTTCAAAGAATGAAAATAGCCTATCCAACATATACATATATTATTTTTTATAATTTTCTTTAGAGAGGAGACTTTTCTGAAGCACTTAATGTACATTTACACACACAAACACATTCATACACACCACTACTTATATAATGTGTTTTTATCTGATTTGGACATTCTTAATACATTTTTTTTTTCACTGATGGATTCTCAACTCCTAGAATATTGTCTGGCAGACAGCAGGCACTCAATAAACACTGATGAACGAATAAAAGATTTGGTCTAACATAGTAATAGTAACAATAAATCTGTAAATAGGAGTAGATGTTACCCTGAATAAGCAGAATGACAGAAGAACTCACACTCCTCTTTTCTCACTATCAATACTTAGCTATATCATATTAAGGGGATTTGTAGTTATCATTTATTCATTCACTCAACATATTTTTTTCATGTTCAATCTGCTTATATTTTAAAAATTTTTATTTTATATTAGAGTATAGTTGATTATCAATGTTGTTAGTTTCAGATGTACAGCAAACTGATTCAGTTATACATATGCACATATCTATTCTTTTTAAAATTCATTTCCTATTTAGGTTATTACAGAATATTAAGCAGCATTCCCTATGCTATACAGTAGGTCCCTGTTGGTTATCAGTTTTAAATATAGTAGTGTGTATTAGTCAATCCCAAACTCCCAATCTATGCCTCCCTCTCTACCTTCCCCACTGATAACCATAAGTTCATTCTCTAATCTGTATGTTTCTGTTTTGTAAATAAGTTCATTTGTATCATTTTTTTAAGTTTCCACATATAAGTGGTATCATATGATACTTGTCTTTCTCTGTGAGACTTACTTCTCTTAGTATGATAATCTCCAGGTATATCCATGTTGAGGCAAATGGCAATATTTCATTCTTTTTAATGGCTGAGTGATATTCTATTGTATACGTGTACCGTATCTTCTTTATCTTTTCATCTATATATGGACTTTTAAGTGGCTTGCATGTCTTGGCTATTGTAAACACTGCAATGAATACTGGGGCACATGTATCTTTGCGAACTATGGTTTTCTCTGGATATATGCCCAGGAGTGGGACTGCTGGCTTATATGGCAACTCTATTTTTATTTTTATTTTTTTTAAACATCTTTATTGGAGTATAATTGCTTTACAATGGTATGTTAGTTTCTGCTTTATAACAAAGTGAATCAGTTATACATATACATATGCTCCCATATCTCTTCCCTCTTGCATCTCCCTCCCTCCCACCCTCACTATCCTACCCCTCTAGGTGGTCACAAAGCACTGAGCTGATCTCCCTCTGCCATGCAGCTGCTTCCCACTAGCTATCTATTTTATGTTTGGTAGTGTATATATGTCCATGCCACTCTCTCACTTTGTCACAGCTTAGCCTTCCCCCTTCCCATATCCTCAAGTCCATTCTCTAGTAGGTCTGTGTCTTTATTCCTGTCTTACCCCTAGGTTCTTCATGACCTTTTTTATTTTCCCTTAGATTCCATATATATGTGTTAGCATACGGTATTTGTTTTTCTCTTTCTGACTTACTTCATTCTGTATAGCAGACTCTAGATCCATCTACCTCACTATAAATAGCTCAATTTTGTTTCTTTTTATGGCTGAGTAATATTCCATTGTATATATGTGCCACATCTTCTTTATCCATTCATCCGATGATGGACACTTAGGTTGCTTCCATCTCCTAGCTATTGTAAATAGAGCTGCAATGAACATTTTGGTACATGACTCTTTTTGAATTATGGTTTTCTCAGGGTATATGCCCAGTAGTGGGATTGCTGGGTCGTATGGTAGTTCTATTTGTAGTTTTTTAATGAAGGTCCATACTGTTCTCCATAGTGGCTGTATCAATTTATATTCCCACCAACAGTGTAGGAGGGTACTCTTTTTCCCACACCCTCTCCAGCATTTTTTGTTTCTAGATTTTTTTATGGTGACCATTCTGACTGGTGAGAGGTGTTACCACATTTTAGTTTTGATTTGCATTTCTCTAATAATTAGTGATGTTGAGCAACTTTTCATGTGCTTTTTAGCCATCTGTATATGTTCTTTGGAGAAACGTCTCCTTAGATCTGCTCATTTTTTGATTGGGCTCTTTGTTGTTTTGATATTGAGCTGCATGAGCTCTTTGTATATTTTGGAGATTAATCCCCTGTCGGTCTCATTGTTTGCAAATATTTTCTCCCATTTTGTAGGTTGTCTTTTCATTTTTTTATGGTTTCTTTTGCTGTGCAAAAGTTTTTGAGTTTAACTAGATCCCATTTGTTTATTTTTGTTTTATTTCCATTACTCTAGGAGACGGATCCAAAAAGATATTGCAGCAATTTATATCAAAGAGTGTTCTGTCTTTGTTTTCCTCTAAGAGTTTTGTAATATATGGTCTTACATTTAGGTCTTTAATCCATTTGGGATATTTTTATGCATGCTGTTAAAGAATATTCTAATTGCATTTTTTTTTTTTTTGCAGCTGTCCAGTTTTCCAAACACCACTTATTGAAGAGACTGTCTTTCCTCCATTGTAGGGCTTTGCCTCATTTGTTGTAGATTAATTGACCATAGGTGCATGGGTATATCTCTGGGCTTTCTATCCTGTTCCATTGATCTATATTTCTGTTTTTGTGCCACTACCATACTATTTTG